TTAGTATATTTTTTATAAAATTATTATATATTAAAATAATCTATTTAATAACCTTGTAACAAACTTGTTTATAATTACTAAATATTATTTTTTTAATATTTTTAATTAATAACTCTTATAACCTTATTTATATTCTATTTATTACTTAATTTTTATTTAATATTCTATTTAAACTATTTATTAAGTTTATATTTAACAATTTTAAATTATATAACTTTTTATATATATCTTTTTTTTTATTTTTACTCTATCTAGTTTAGTTTCTATTAATCTTATTTTTATTATTTACAACTCTTTTATTTCTTACTATATTGTTATTTCCCTTTTTATCAAACTTTTTCTTTATTTAAACCAACAAATATATAAACAAATATGAATTTTCTATTATATTTTATATTTATATAATTTTAAATTATATCATTTAATAACTTATAACTTTTCTTTTAGTTTAACTTTGCTCTTTATTTTAATTTCAAATATTATTACTAAAATTAACCTTTAGACTATTTAATAAATTAAATATTATACTTCTTTCTTTTATATTATTACTTATACTTAAATCTAGATAAACCTTAGTCATTCTTGTAGGTTTAGATTACAGATTATATGTCTAAGTCTTTATTTTTTATATGTAATTTAAAAGCAAGTTTTTTTTTGTAAAAACCACTTGAATTTTAATAAAATTAAAAGCATAACCTTACTGTTAATATTTTTAAAAAAAATAATAAGGTTGATAGCAAGATTGCCAAAAGTTAAAAAAAAAAAAATTTAAAACCATTTACTTATAATCTTCTAAGCTAGTTTAGTACGACTTTTAAGTTCAAATATACTTTTAACTAATATAACAAACTGTTTTTGAAAATTTATTAAAACAACTAAAATATGTTAAATCAGAAATTTAAATTTAAATATACATATTAGCATACACAAATATTAATCAAAGTTTTAAAACAAGATCATCAAAAAGGTCAAACCAAGTAATATAATCATGTAGTAATGTCATAATTCATAAACAGGTTTGGGTAAAATTACTAATTATTTATACGTACGTACACTTTTAAGCAAAATCTTTACCTGTTATCAACAATTTTGCCAAAACCTATTGTAAAATGCCGGAGACTTCCGACTCGATGTTTCATCGGATGGTTTCTAATCATATTACATCACCTTGCACTATCGATATCGATATGGCTTAAAAGTTTTTGTTATTTATCCGGTGACTTTAACCAATAGAATCACAAAATTTTGGATAACTTGATTAAGTCCGGCCAAAACACCAACGAAAAGAGTGTCTAAAGAGCATTAATTAAAAGTATCAGAAAATGACTTTACCTATAAACACTTTTCATCTTCTAACCTAAAAATTGATCCTAATACTTTTCAAGGTGCCTGGCTTTAAACGACCCCTTAATTTTACACTTTTATGAATAATGGATGTCTTATGTTGTCCTAAAATTGGCACCATATGCACCATATGATTCCCATCTTACAAATTATATGCGACTTTAGATCCACCAATCACATTTAACTATATAAGAAGGCCATCATATGACGGAACATGCATCCCGAGGTAAAAGGGTTGAAGCTTTCAAGAAAAAAGACAGTTTTCCGCGGGCTACCTCTATCTTGTGCATAGTTGTACGTCTTAATCTTTTGACGAACAAAATAAAGGCCTTCTCGCACTAACCTGTAGGAAATTCAGTTATACAAAATTTTGTGGTGTTATTAAACTTTGATAGGCAAGACGTCGTCCCCAAAGCATAAAAAACGCAAGATTGAAACCATGTCGGTCCAGTCTGACGATGAACTCATGTATGAGGATTCTTGTCCAGACTCGGGTAAGTCGACTTAGTTAATAAAATATTAGCAGTAGAGTTTGAACCTTTGTTTTTGATCTTGAAGCGTTTGTACAGTCTACCTTGCTACACAATGGATCAGTCTTATACACGAGCCAATTAATGGTTATTTTTTATAATCACACTTACAAAATTTAAACCTTCCAACAATAAAGACGAAGACGGTGAATTAGACATTGACAACGATGAGGAAGTCATTGCTGAAGAAGACGACGCCGATTTCAATTTTACGGACGTGGTTGCCGAAAAAGATCGTAAAAAGAGTTACGAAGTGGAATTCAAAGTTCACTCTGTTGAAGGAATTGTCAGGAACCAAGACGAAGAAGTTACTCATGTGTCTAATATTCTTGGTATCCAAAAGCAACATGCTGCGACATTACTTCGACATTTTTGTTGGAATAAAGAAAGACTCATTGAGAGATATATGGATGATCCAAAAGATGTCCTACATAAAGCAGGAGTCATAACTGATGATTCTAAGATTCCAAAATTCGTAAAGGTTCCAGGTTTTGTATGTGAGATTTGCTGTGATGAAGATGATATAGAAACTTTGGCTCTGTCATGTGGACATCGGTTTTGTCGAGGTTGTTACGAACATTACTTGACACAAAAGATCAAGGAGGAAGGAGAAAGTCGTAGGATATCGTGTATGGCCAGCGGATGTAATGTTATCGTGGACGAAAAAACTGTTGAATTAGCAGTCAACAATGAAATACACGAAAGGTGAAAATATTTTAAAAATAAATTTATTATTAATTTTTTTTTTACAAGTACTCATTTGAATAAAATAAAAAATAAAAAATTTATAGGTATCGTAGACTACTAAATCGAACATACGTAGATGATAACGAATCTTTAAGATGGTGCCCTGCTCCTAGCTGTGAATATGCAATCGAATGCCATGTACCACAAGCTTCTCTTACAAGTATTGTACCAACAGTTGAATGTTCATGTAGTCACCGATTCTGCTTTGGTTGCAGCTTACCTGATCATCAACCATCGATTTGTACACTTGTTAAGAGATGGATTAAAAAATGTGAGGATGACTCAGAGACGGCTAATTGGATCTCTGCGCACACAAAAGAATGTGGGAAATGTCATTCTACCATTGAAAAAAATGGAGGATGTAACCATATGACCTGTCGCAAATGTAAGTACGAATTTTGCTGGGTCTGCATGGGACCATGGTCAGAACATGGTACCAGTTGGTATAATTGTAATCGTTATGATGAAAGGAGTAGTCAGGATGCTAGAGATCAGCAAGCCAAATCTCGTGCATCCTTGGAAAGATATCTTCACGTATGTTTTATTATCAATTAAAAACATAATGAATGAATTAAAAAAAAATTTATTATACTAATACTTAATTATCAATACATGAATTTTAATTTAGTATTATAATAGATTTGCAAACCATGAACAATCCGCAAAGCTTGATCGAGAACTTTATAATAAGACTGAAAAGAAGATGGAAGAAATGCAACAAACATCTGATTTATCTTGGATTGAAGTTCAATTCCTTAGAAAAGCAGTTGACACTCTTGTGCAATGTCGTATGACGCTTAAATGGACATACGCATTTGCATTTTATCTCGCTCGTAACAATCATACAGAAATGTTTGAGGACAATCAACGTGACCTTGAAATGGCCGTTGAACAACTTTCAGAATTATTGGAAAAACCCATTGAACCAGAGAAAATTAGTGAATTGAAAGAACAAGTCTTGAATAAAACAGTTTATGTTTTGAATCGTAGAGAGGTATTATTAGATGATACCGCTAAAGGATTGCTTGAAGAACGATGGGAATATCAGGTAGATATTACGAGCTAAATAAACCCAGCAATATCATTACTAAAGTTTAGAACCGGGATATAGTAAACCGGGTCACCCGTGTCAAAACGGTTCAACCGGGTCAAAAATTTACAACTCGGGTCAAAACGGTTGAATATGTAATCTCTAAAAATCTGTTACTATTACGCAGAAACATAAAATTTAACACATTATTATTGTATTGTGAAAATAAACACATTTTTTTTTCATACTAGTTTATCTAAATGTTCAATCCCGCTAATCTGGATTTAGAAAAAAGTTACAAACTTTCGGAGGCTATCATACGACTATTTATTGCGAAAATTTTACTAAAAATTTTCTTTTGTATAAGCCTTCATTATTATTTTCTTTATTTTCTTTATTTTCTTTATTTTCTTGCTTTGCTAATATGTAATACACTGAGTGTATTTAACCCCAGTAATTCATAGCGCCGGGTATCGGGTTATGTAACGTGATTGCGTTGCATGAATTGCGTGATCGTAGATAGCATAACGATAAATAAAATTAATTAAAAGTCTAATATCAGATATATACGTTGTTACCTGTTACGAAAAATGTAACAAATCAAAAATACACATTTTCTCGGGTGACGATTTTGCATCCTAATTTATACGAGAATAATTTATTACTACATCGTGCGGTGCGTGTAGAACATATAATTTTTTTTTAATTAAAAATAAAGTTAAGGCTAGCATGGGGGATGAATTATATAACATACCAATTAGTTTTTATGAAATTATGCGCCAACTCTATTACATTTCACTTTACACCTGTATTATTTGACACCTAGTTTATAATATTATATATTGAGATCCCAAAAAAAAAAAAAAAAATAGTTCACGCAATGTCGTTCATGTGCAGTGTAAACTTTCAATTCAGCATTATATTATTCGATTTGCAACATTTTCTTTTTTGTTTTTTTTTATATAATCTTTTTTTTATTTCTTTGATTGATACAAACAAAATATTTTGTCTATATATATATATATAAAAAAAAAAAAAAACAGATGTTTATTTACAGTGTTATAATTATTAGCGTTAAACTATTTGTTAATACCAACCGTAAAAACAGATGAATTTAAAAATAGAGTAATTGAATAAATTTTTTTTGGATGTGCCGCTGTAACATATTTTTGAAAATTTGATCGAAAAAAAAAGTACAAACAATCGTTAAATTCCATACATAATGCACAATCAAAGCTCAAATAATTTCATATTAATTACACATTATTGAGAATTTCAAAAAGCAGTTTTTACACATCTATATAAATTTTATATGAATTATGATACATTACATCCCAACTTTGGATCTTTCATTTCTGATCCACTACCACACTTTTAAGTTGATTACTATAGGAAGCAGATGAATTTTCACGATCATGATTTTCTAGATATTGATGGGACAGGGTCGCAAGATTTTTCAAATCATCCCACACATTAGGATAAACAACCGAATCCCATTTATCCTTAATTTCATTAAAGATTTCACCAAATGCTGAACCTCTTTCCACAATAATACGGAAATATGGATCAATATTTTCATCAGTTTTGGGATCTGCAGGACGAAACTCAAGGCGTACTGGTTCTTCACTTGGATTAGGATGATGTGTTGGAATGATATAATCAAGAAGAGAACTATGTTTGGCGTAACCAAATTCGTTGAATGTTGGTAAGAGATCAATAACTACATCCGGAACACGAACGTGAGGTGCTTCTGTTACATCATCAAACAAGGTCACCTCAAGTTTAATGTGAGAATAAGTGCAAAGCCATTCAAGAATTTCTTGTAAAAAAGAAAAATAAAATAAAAATTAATGTAAGATTCATGTTATTCATCGGGTTTCATAAGACCATGAAGAAATTCTACCTGGCTTAGTTCCAAGAATTATGAACCTGGAAGAGTTTACAACTGACAAACTGATCACCTCCGGTAATTTTGTGGGGGTGATAATCTTTCCAGCAGTCATAGTCAAATTACCGACCTGTTCACCTAAAAGAAAAAAGTGTATTAAATAATTAGTAACTACTGTTTTAAAAAAAAAGTCATTATTCGTGATTCTATAATACACACCTATAGCGTAGCCGTATTTGAGAACCATTTTGAAGTAAGTTAGAAAGTACCTTTGAATGATACATCATGGGAATTTATAGTTGAAGATTAAAGCGATTTTTGCCTGATCCAAAATGGCATGATTTGAAAATCTGTAATAGGTTACGTCTATGATGTCAATGATTGACAGATCTTGGTTACATTTTCTGTAAATGCACCCCCCCTAGAACAATAGCGATAGGCAAAATTTTCGTAAATGTGCATTTAGAGAGGGTGTGCATTTATGGAGGACATCTTATTAAGTGCTTTCTATGCTTGGGATTTAATATTAGTGGTGTGCATTTAGAGAGGGTATACATAGTGCGCGCATTTATTATAGAGGGTGCATTTATTATAGAGGGTACATTTTATTATAGAGGGTACATTTATTATAGAGGGTACATTTATTTATTATAGAGGGTACATTTATTTATTATAGAGGGTACATTTATTATAGAGGGTACATGCAGAGTTACGTTCTTGACGCATAAAATTTTGATTTTTTTTCAAGACCAAGATATCTCAACGACTTATTTTGATCCTACAGACATGTAAAAAAAAATCGTCAAATTTAGTGAGGTGGTTGCCGAGATATCTTTTGCTCAAAGTTTTACAAAAATTTTGTTGCAACCGTTATAGACGTTTTGAGATTTTCAAACCTTTGAGCGAAGATAAATTGGCAATAATTTAACCAAATTCGGAGTTTTTTTTATTGGATCATTAAATAAAGTACGTATAATTTTAATTAAGTTTGGATAATGGGTATGACCTACAAAAACGTGATTTTCTCGAAATTTTTAAATGTAGATCTCACCCTTTTCTTGAATAGCGCCCATATGCACTTTAAATGGGGGAACGTTAAAGCCAGGTACCACTTTTTTGATTCAGTTAGGGTTAGTGGGTTATATAGATATCAATAATACAATTTATGCAGCATGTAGATCATTATATGAATGTACCTGACCCTTTAAATGTTTCCAAAAAATTTTAATTGAAGATATCTCGGCAACGCCCAACTAAATTTGATAAATTGATAAATTTTTATTTTATTTTATTCTACGTACAATTCTCTAAAATTAAAATAGAAAAATTCACAGGATTTAATTGGGTGGGCATCGAAAAAGTTCAAATTTTATGCGTCAAGAACGTAACTCAGATTTAGAGGCACTGTAGATCTATTTCTATCAAATTGAATTTTTGCTCCAACCTTTTCACGTGATTTTTCGTATGTACTTACGTACTTGTTATTAGTCATTCACTAGAATACTGTGCTTATGACATTGCCGTCATAACGCGGTATTCGCCGTGATGAAATCAGAATTGTCGACTAACGCAGTTATCCGACATATTTGACCGATTTTCGTGTAATTTGTTCGGCCTCCTCCTAATACTAATACACTCGTGTATTAAGAAGTGAGTAAAAAATTCGTGTATTTGTATTAGAAGTCGAACAAGTTAATTAAGCTAATAAATAAGTTAAAATATGTTTATATTGTAATTTTTTTTTTTTATTTCAATAATTTTTAAAATAATATATAAAAATCTTTTTATTAAATTTTCAAGTTTATAATTCTACTTTGAACTAACTCATACAGGGGGATCCCCAAAATTCCGGGTTGGAATACTTCGGATTTAGCCCGGCATTTATTTAGCATTTAGTAATACAAGTTAACCATTTTGGGGCCAAAATTATCAGCTGGGCAGCTTTACTTAATGAGTGAGCTATGGTTTCATTAGTAAAACTTTTAGTGATCTTGGGCAAAATTAGTTAATTCCGGCCCTGCCGATCATGATTCCGAAGTATTCCGACCCGTAATTTTGGGGATCCCCCTGTATGAGTTACTTTGAACTGGTTAAAATAACCTGTTACATGATGTGTAGGTAGTTCTAATTTAAAGTTCATCTTGTGAATCTTTTTATTATATAATTAGCTTTTGTAACTTAGTGCAAGCTTTTTTATTGAATATAATATCTATTCAAAAATCAAATAAAAAAAAATTGAAAATTTGTAAAAATAGGCTATTTTTAATATATAGATCACACCCCATATGGTCAGAAATGACATGTTATAATATTGGATATTTGGACTATTTGAACAATCACTATAAAAAATATTCAAATTTGCTTTTTGATTTATATTTGTATAATAATTATATATATTTTGTGTAAAAATTTTGACACAATAATTTTTTAATATATATATTAATTAAACAAAAATTAAACAAAAACTAAATATTTTGTTTTTATAGAGAATGTTCAATTCGTCCAAATAGTTTAACCAAATAATAATAATTCGGTTCAACCAGCAAATGAATGTTGCGAAGCAATATATTAATATAAATGAAAAAAACCTTATAGCAAAACTATAATTAATTGTTATATAATTTAATGTCACTATTAGAGTTATCTTTGTAATCGTAATAGGAATCATGATCAGAGTTGCGATCCAAGTTTAAATTAAAAACCAAAATAATTAAAACCTAGCTTCTAGATCGTAAGGCATTAGAAAAGCAAAAAAATTTACTTTTTATATATATTACTGAAGTTTATTCAACAAAATTACTGGAAAATTGGACATATGTTTAATTAATTTGATAATTTATTGGACATTGTCTAATATGTCTAATGGTCCAAAAATCCGGTTGAATTTATTTGAAAATTGTTCAATACCAACTCTGCATATGACTCAAGTAGCTAATATAATGCAGAATTAGGTAAAGTTGTATGATACATACAATTTCGAAGAATAAATCATTGATTAAATAGGTTTGATTACAATTTTGCAAAACTTTATTAGTATATATTACCAACAATGTAAAAATAATAAAACTATAATTAAATAATCTAGTCAGATTTAATTTATACAAATAAATATATTGCCAATTAGGGTTTGGAACCGTGAAAAAAATTATACTAGCGCCACTTAACTACAGGTTACACGAGTAATAATCGGTTAACCGTTTATTAATCGTTTAACCGTTTAACCGCATATTGATTAAATAATCATTTAAAGGTTTAATCACTTAGTCATTTAGCCATTTACTAATCATTTTACCAATCCATTGTATTACATAACGATAAACAACTTGTGCTTAATAAAACTTTGAGTCGGAACCATGTGTATTGCTAGCACAATACACATTTGTCCTGTGATTAATATCTGATTAATAATCTTTAGCATATAGATATCTACTGTACACTATCATTAAACAATTAATCGTATAAAATTTAAAAAGGCAGTCAAATGAATAATCTAACGATTTTTAAACGTTTATAATGATATAACATTCTTTACTCATATAACTGTATAATATAAATAAACGGTTATAGGCGGTTAAACGAATAACGGCACCAATTCCTATACACAGTGTTGTCAATGGACAGGTGTGGACAGACGTGTGGACAAATGTGTAGACAATATACGAACATGTTGCACAAAAAAGAAATGTTAATAGCTCAAAAGTTTATTATGACAACTTGATTTTGTACATTAAGTAAAAATGTTTAT